GTGTGTGTGTGTGTGTGTGTGTGTGTGTGTGTGTGCGTGCGTGTGTGTGCGTGTGTGTGTGCACGCGCATGCATCGCATGGTACATGCTGGTCCTTTGGTGAGACAGATGCACTGTTTTTTTGCACCAAGTCCATCACACTCCTGTGTGGTTAAATGATGAAAATTTTGGCATTTATTGACCAAAGTTTCAAAGATTTAAATTAGTATCTGCAACATGATCATTAATTCAAGTGTATTAATTAGGATGAACAAAAACAGCTGGTTTGTGATTGTTTATTACATTATTACATTACCTTTTCTAAAAAGAGCAACCGCCGCATTTTGTAACAACCACCGCAAAATGTTATTACATAATGCGGCTGAGAGTATTACAAAATGCTTGAGACTTTTATTTAGGGCTGGGCAGTATACCGTTTTGTACCGAATAATGGTTATTTTTGTTATATGAATTTTTTGAATACCGGACATACCGGTTTAAATAGCGGAATGTATCGTTGCGGCCGCCAGTGAACTGTTGTTTCCCGGGGGACATTTTTCCTTGCTGCACCGCTATGTGCGTTAGCATGCTAATGTTTGAAGCAGCTAGTTGCAGCAGCAGGTGGCGATTCCGCTGCTTATATTGACTGATGTTTAAAAACAACATCCCGTTTTTGCCGTCACTGAATGTAGTAAACACCTCTTCGGTGACGTGCGCAGTTAGATTTAACGCGGTTAGTTAATATGGAGACTTTATGCTGATGGAGACTTAACGTGGTTCTATTGTGAAAAGCACAGGGAAGTAGTTCGTAGTGAAGTTGGAATTGACTGGTGTGCAAGGTGAGTCGTGCTGAAAAGCTTTAATAAATAACATAAAACAATAAACCCGATCATAATCTTTTCTTAACCCTCCTCCTTCACGACTGGAACAAAATGCATGACTACTGTCTAAAACCACCAGTCAGAGAAGAACAGACACAGAGGAGGGAAACAGAGACACAGACAGAGGTACAGGAAAAGAAAAAAGTCAATAAGCAGGGTTTGTACATTTTATTATCAGCTGAGCTGTGATGAAAAGAAAAATACAATCAAATACCGTGAAACAGGTGAAAATGTTGAAAATACCGTGATATAAAATTTTGATCATATCGCCCAGCTCTACTTTTATTAAATTCTGTCAGTCATTACATAATGTGGTTTTAGTGCAGGTTTATTACAATTTGAAGCCAGATTTTATTAAATTATTACATAATGCAGCATTGCAATCCCTTCACTGTATACATGGCAAAACAATTTGACTAGTGTATCCATACACAGACTCGTCATTTTGATGGGACTGACACATTCATTTATACAGAAATTTAGTTTTGAGGGATTAGCTAATGATTTTGAGCAAGAAACTGGGTTTTGCAGGTAATCCATGGTGTTTTGCTACTACTGTTTTGAAAAATGCGCTTACTGTTTTGTAAATGACAAAAATGATTTGAGCAATTACTAAAGCAACTGAGAAAAACTGTAAATCTTTCTCATGAATTAAATCTCAGTTTCTGATTGGTCTTCTCTCCTCTGCAGGATCATCGAGGCAGTTTGTATTGGCTGGTTCACAGCTGAATGTGTCGTCCGTTTCCTTGTGTCTCGTGACAAATGTGAGTTTATTCGTCGTCCTCTGAACATCATCGACCTGCTGGCCATCATGCCTTATTACGTCTCGGTTACCATGACGATGCTGACCGGGGAGAACTCCCAGCTGCAGAGGGCTGGCATCACGCTGCGTGTCTTGCGCATGCTTCGAGTCTTTTGGGTGATAAAGCTGGCACGCCACTTCCTGGGCCTGCAGACTCTTGGCTTAACTTTGCGCCGCTGTTACCGTGAAATGGTGATGCTTCTCATCTTCATATGTGTTGCCATGGCAATTTTCAGTGCGCTGGCTCAACTGCTGGAGCACGGATTGGACCTGGAGACCAGAAACCAGGATTACGCGAGCATCCCTGCCGCCTGCTGGTGGGTCATCATCTCTATGACAACGGTGGGATATGGGGACATGTACCCAGTAACCGTGGCAGGCCGAGTCCTGGGCGGCGTGTGTGTGGTAAGTGGCATCGTGCTGCTGGCACTGCCAATCACCTTCATCTACCACAGCTTTGTCCAGTGTTACCATGAGTTGAAGGTCCGCTCAGTTCGCTGCAGCCACAGCTTGTCTGCCGAACTAGTCAACTGAGCTGCATTGTCATCAATCGACCAATCATCAGACAGGAACTAATGAACATCAAGACTTCGAGTTTTCATTCAATCTGAAATGTGGTTGGTTCAGAACTGATTTGACTTTCATAAAGGAGTTGTTGGACCCAATTCAAGAAGGGTACAAGAAGTACCTGGGAATTTACTTAACATTTATACAAATGGTATCTCTGTGTAACTAACTTTGAAATAATATTAAAGAAAGACTACAACATGACAGATGTAAGTGTCCTTGAAGTGCTCTGATGCTCTGAAACACCTGCCTCAGGAGGAAATAAAGTGTCTCGTGTCTCTCATCTTTAAGTTAGATGAAAGTGTCCCGTGGTGTCCCTCTCTGATCAAACTGAACTGTCCTAAGCCTCTTTTCCAGGTTAAAGCATGGGTGCCCAACCTTTTTTGAAGCAAGAGCTACTTTTGAAGTCGGCAGTTTGCCGAGATCTACTCGTCCAGTCTCAGTATCAAAAAACATTTTTCGTCTCCCTACTCCTCACTTCTTTAAAGTAAATAAAGCAGAACGTAATGTGTTGCTAGTTTTATTTAATTTAAGTAGGTACCGGCAGTGATGCTTTGTTCACTCAGGAATAGGAGAGAACACCTGTTGATCATGGAAAATATCCCAACTTCCCATCATTAAAAGTCTTTTTCAGAGTAATTTTTTTCCAAAAGAAACACTACTGTGTTAAAGTTGAATTGTTTTCCTTTCTAATGATACCCATTTTATATATATTGAAGCAAATAAAATACTTTAAATTTCACAATAGTTTTCATAATTTTTTTCATAAGCGTGACTGGAACGCATTGTTTATGCTAATTAGAACCCCCCTCCCGGCACAGCGCCGAGACATTGTCCAAGAAAATCGGGTCAGGCATTGCGAGGAAATGACCAATTGAGCCAGCACTAATATCATATTCAGCCGTAAATCATACGCTTTCTAGACATATCAGGTTTGTTGGTGTTTATTCTTTTAGTTTTTTTGTAAATCATAAAAGTATCAAAACCTCCAAGAAGATCGTCAATTGACGAATGATTTATAAAAAATAAACCCCACAAAATGGGTATCAAAATAAAGATTATTTTGTGAGTTTTCATATTATATTGGTACCAAACCTGAAAAATCAACCTGCGTGATGCGCCATGCACATCAACACACGAACCGAACTCGCCCCTCCTACCTTTCAAAATAGAGGCCTCTGTTGTGGACGCTGAAGGCTGTCCGGATCATTGTTCGGATTACTCTATTCCAGACGTATTAATTCCATTCCTGGGTAAGTTATACAGTGGTTTGCAAAAGTATTAATACCCCTTGAACTTTTCCATA